AACTCAAGCTGATAGAGGGTGTGAATTCCTGGCTTAAGTTCAATTAGCAGATTTCTGAGGCTGCTCAATGCAAACTCAGTGGTAGAGCCATTTCCCCAGAATAGCTCTTGTCATACTAAGCCCATGTCCCATGTGGTAAAGACTCCAGGTGCTGAAGACTAACTTTAAGAAGAGGCAGAGTTTAGGAAGACCACAGTGATGGGGAACTGTAATAGTATGTGGGAATGACCTTGGGAGACAGGGGGAGGAGCCACAGCCAGGAGAATGGTCGGATAAGAGGCAGCTGAGCCTGCAGAAGGAATGTGGGTGTGGCAAACATCTCAGAAAGGACCCTCCCTGATTTCTTGGGCTGCAAAGGTGACGGGAAGAAATGTACTTCCAGACTTGCAAGATTCTGTTAATGTAACCTTACAATAAAGTAGAATTAGTCCATCTGGTTGTGCTTCTTGTCTGGCTATCTCGCAAGGCTGACATCAATCTTGCAAGTCAGAAAGTATATTTCTTCCCCATGCCTTTACAGTCCGGGAAACTAGGAGGGTCCCTTCTGAGACATTTGCCCTGCCTACATTCCTTCTGTGGGCTACTCTGCTTCATATCTGACTGTTCCCTTGGCTGTGGCTCTTCCCCCTGTCTCCCAAGGCCATTTCCACATACCATTACAGGAACAGAGTTAGGATGCAAGCCACAGTAAAAAGGGTTCCCCTTTTTCTGCAAGGGGGAAAAATCCACTTTGTAAAAGTAGATGGATGCTGTTATAGGTGCTCCCAGGTTCAGCTTATGGTCACTTGCTCACACACTCACAGCCTGTTGAGGCACACGGATCTTGTAAGCCCCCCTTGCTTTCTACCTGGGTTTTCCAGATAGGTGCGGCTACAGCAGACAAGACACACACCCTGGTCAACAGCCAGAAACTAATTAGGGACACACACAAGTCATTTTCAACCAAACACTGAGGCTCCACAGGTTCTTGGAATATACAGAGACCCAGTGAATTTAAAATAACACAAATGGGTACAATGTACATTTGCTTTCTCTCACACACACACGCACGCTCATCCACACTTATCCTCATCCTCAACTAGGCTGCCAGGCATTAGCTAGAGGGACAGAAGCCACCAAGTCTGGATCCAAAGATGACTCAAGGAGTGGGCGGGCTTCAGGACCCCTTTTTATCCCCAAAAGTCCTTGCTGGGATTGGGTTTTTTTCCCATGTGGTCAGGCCCAGCTTACTTTGTCTGGTTTAAGTGACATTTTTTTCCCTTTGTTTCATCAACTTGTTTCCTTCTTATCTGCCTCCCTGAAGGGATTTTTGGACAAGATTCCTAGCTTTTTGTCCTCTCTGCTTACGTGCCTGCTTCATCTTTTAGTTATGGCAGCCTCAGGCTAGTCTCACGATACCCAGCTGAAAGCAGGAATATCTTCAGCCATTCTGATAAGATACCTGCATGAAAGAATCATCTGTGTTTGAATATGATGTTCATATCGAGTTCATTGTTATTCATTATTCTGCTTTAAATGTTCATGCTTGTGTCCTTTATGAAGCATAAACTCCTCGGGGTGACCTGCTGGTAGTGTAGCAAATTTGATTGAAATCAGGGTTAACGGTTAGTGGCAAATGGAGCTGTAAGAGTAGTAGTGATAGCTTGCTCCAGTAGTTGTTCAAGGACATCCCTTTATAGCAGGTCTCATTTTCACATGTGATACATGAAATCTGTAGGGTGTGTGTGAATATGTAGAGGGGCACAGTCTTTGTTGCTATGAAGCATAACTTTTTAAGGTTGGGAGTGAAAAAAGCAAGGAACTAGGCCCTGTGGAGCACAATGAAATATTCCAAGGAAGTATTGCATTGAAATTACAACACTGGAATGGTGTGATTTTAGGGTGATTGTTGTTGTTCCTGTGGTTTGAATGTCAGATCTCATCATTTAATACTTTTGGTCATGCTGGCGAAAACTGTTGTGGGTTGGAGTTCTACAATGTTTGAAAGGCCATGGGTTTTACAACCTTCATTTTGAATGAAGACAGTTAAGGCTTATGTTGGAAGATGATATAATGAGGACTGATAAAGAGAAAGAAGGGAGAGGAAGTGGACGGGAAGGAATTCCATGATGGAGACATTACCAAGTATTGCCTTCAGCCTCTGCACCCAACACAGAAATGGGGGAAGAGCCTCTGTTCCTCTTCTGCCATCCCTGAGCAGGCTTCTCAGTTTTGTGGACTTGTTTACAAGCCTGAGATATGGAGTGACTTCCCCCTCATCTAACACTAGGGCTTGAGGTCTCTCAAGTGAAAGTACCATGCAAGGGATTCGCCACAAAATAAATATTTATTTTGTTTCTCCATATAACATACTGGTGGAATTATTGATGGAATTCATTGCCAAGTGATGTGCTGATGATCATTAGATTAATGAGTCACAAGATGCTTAGAGAGTAGATCTACTAGAGGTTTTAGCTAGGATGATAAATAGCTCCTCCATATTCAAGGACACTCTTTCTCTGAAGGACAGTTGCTGGAGGGCAGGCAATTAAGGAAAGCTTTCAACCTGCTTATAGAATTTCAAGGGACCATTTGTGGAATCAGGATGCTGTTGGATACTTCAGCCGATCCAACAGTACTCTTCTGACATAGTTATGGCCAAGATGCATTTGAAATCTGCTTCTCTGGGAACCAGTATTAGTTTTGTATCGCCAAAATTTGTGGAAGCAAACATATTTTAAGGTGGGATTCTTATACACCCTTATTTGGAAGTAGGACCTGCTGAACCCATGAAGCAGCTCTGGAAAAGGTTAATCTGTGAAGTATTAAAGATGGTGTCAGAGCAGAACTATTTTCCTACCTTGTGAAGTCTCTCATTCAGAGTATCTTCAAATGGATGTCACCACAAGGAACAAGGAATATATTAGTTTCTGCAACATCCTGCCTTCAAAAGATAGATATTAATGAATGTGGGAAGGAAATATGTGCCCCCTTCATACCATTCCTCCAAGTCACCACTGGGTAGCTGTCATGCCCTGCTGTTTAAACATTTTGAAGCGACAAAATCATGCTGTATGGAGCTTTTTGAAACACTAAATGTGATAGCTCTCTCATTTTGTAAGGCTATAATGCTGTTCTAGGTTTTTTTACAAGCTTCTTTCCTCTCCTCTCCTCTCCTCTCCTCTCCTCCCCCTCCCCCTCCCTTTTACTTTTACTTTTTAATTTATTTATTTGCAGTTACATAGAAGTCAAATGAACAAAAAAAAATAGTTATGTATAGTATAAGGCTTGATGCAGAAGAGAGCAGTGCACTTTTAATAATTGTGTAGAATGGGGAATTTCAGCAGGCATGACTTTGCATAATTAGTGGAGAAGTGCAAATCAGCCCTCATCTAGTTTGAAGAGTTCATCTGATTCATAAAATCAATATGATTCAATTCAACACTTCAAACCGATTCAGAAAATTGGTATGATTTGGACGTCCAAGTCAAACCATCAAATTGGATGGATTTGATTTTGATTTCTGAATAGATTTTGTATATTTATATGTATATATACTGTATATATATCAGTAGATATGCAGCCCAGCATCTAATTCTTTGAATCTAACCAAAAGGGATCCCATTTAATTTGATGACGCAGTTCAGCTTTCCAATTCAATTTGATTTAGGGATTAGGCTGAATTGCTTTCAAACTAAACTCTCTGAAGTTCTACATATCCCCAAGGGTTCCCCCACAAGCTTCCATCTGCAAAAAAAGACTTTTGGAATGCAAGTATTGAAAAGTGCAGGGGCTGTGACTACTTTTATAATTGTCCTCTCCCCCATTAAGTATAACTCTGGTTATTCACATAAGAACATGAAGAAGCTGTCAGGTCCCAGCGTCTCCAGTTACAAAAAAAATCAGGAAGCAGATGATACAAAAAACCCTCTGCTTGAAATCTTGGATAAATGCCACATGAGGTTTAAAAACATGGTTGTAGCAAAAACATGCGTGCTTCCAATGCACAGACACCCACCCACACATGCACAGAAGGTCCCTGCATAGATCTTTGTGCACAAGTGTGAAGTTCTGGATAAGGTTTCACGGTGCATTCAGTAGAAGGTGTTGAGACATTTCTACAGGTCGGGGACTTCAGGAAGGTGCCCCAGTACGGAATATTTGTAAGCACTTTTCCTTGATCATGCTATAACCCCTCTAGAGACCTAAGCAAGCCATGCCCAAAGATGCATTAGGTCCAGGGGCATGTGCCCACCCATACACACTTCTGATACATGCTCCCAGAGAGCAATAGAAGAGGCACCATTAACCGGATGGGTAAATCAACTAAAATGGTCGAAAGCAGCCCATGATTCACAGCCCTGGAAAGCACTGGCTTGATGTGCAATGAACATGTGCTCAGACATATTTCTTGTCAAAGCTAAAGGGCGTGTTTGTCTTTGCCTTGTTTCAAGGCTGGGGTGCACAGAAACAGCTTCTCTGCTTGGGATGGGCTCTTCTTATGCCCAGCACAGGGCACAGCTGCCTGCAGACGCATCAGCTTGGATCCCTCCAAATGCCTGAGCACACAGGCGTGGTTCTGATTTGGGGTGGAATAGCCAGTTCTAATGTGAAAAATAGTCCTTTTCCTGCTGGGGCCATGTGTTCTTTTATAATTGGATAAGAAAAAGCATGTGTTGGGTCTCCTGCTTTGGACAATATTTTAGTGAGTTTCATAGGTTACCCAACTCCATTCTACCTTTTAAAGTGATGAATGGCAAGATCCGCGTTAAGCAGACAAACCAAGAGGCTCAAAGCCTCTTGAAAACACACCATCCAGACAGTTTGCTTGTTCTTCTTGGATGCCCTTTGCTAGCTGAGGCTTCTCCTAAAACGTTCAGACGGCTGGATGAATGAACTGCATGGGACGCTGTTTAACAGTTTGCAATGCGACGTGATCATTGAAAAGAACAGAACATTTGCATTTTTTAACCCACAAGGGGACTAGCAGGTTTATTCTTTTTGCATGTGCTTTCCCCTAGACTCTGGCTGCCCTAACAAGAAATTCAATAAATCTGCTTCCAAACCATCTTGCACAAGCTTTGCATGTCCAGTCTGGGCCTGAGGAAATTAACAAGCGAATAGAACACACCATCGACTTGCGGAGTGGCGATAAGTTGCGAAGAGAGCATATCAAGCCTTTTTCCCTGATGTTTAAAGACTCTGGCCTGGAACATAAGGTAGCTGGGTCTTGATAGATGACTTTTGCCAACTTAGATTGACTTGCAATGACCGTTGATTGGCAAAGACAAAGTTGCGGTGGGTTTCATTTTCGAATGTCCCTCCCTTTCTTCCCACCCCATCCTTCAAAGATGGAGCTACTAAGATACCCTCAGATACAAAGGGTGCATATCCTGAGATCTGAGGTCCATGTGCAACTCCTGAAAGCTTTGCTTATGCCACCCCTGAACTCCCACAAGTTGCCCCCAGTCATCTTGAATGGGATCAGAGAAGGAAAACTGAAATATATGGAGGGTGTTGCAGTCATAATGTTTAATTAACTACAGTATAATTAAAGTTTAGTTAAATCAGATTTAGGGTTTTCTTTCTTTGTCACCCATTTTTTGGGAGCGTAGCCACTGGGACATCATCCAGAGGCTAAATGTGGCTCTGGAAAAAGTTGCATACACTTAACTAGGTCAGGTACAGATTTAGGAGATGCCTTTACACAACAGGCTAAGATAGATAGATAGATAGATAGATAGATAGATAGATAGATAGATAGATAGATAGATAGATAGATAGATAGATAGATAGAGATAGAGAGACAGATAGATGATAGATTGATCGATAGATTATTGATTGATAAATTAGATAGATAGATAGACAGACAGAGACCTATTGTGCAACAGTATAACTTATTTAGTTACTTTATAGTTTAATCTATGGTGTGAACCCCCAAAATGGAATAATTTGATAACTGAGTTGTGTGTTGTGAGAACTCAGTCATTCCATGTCTATTAGAGTAGTGTAGGTAGGATTATATCTTGAAGAGTCAGACAATTCCTTCTAAAAATGGCAGTAAAGCAGTAAAGGCAGTACTGTAAAAGCATAAGAAAGAGAGGGAAAGAGAAAGAGAGATTTATTTTTTAAAAATCTTCTCTGCTTTGCTACATATTGCCTTACAATACACTAATGTGCTACATTCTGCTATACTGTCCTGGGCTGAAGTTTTCAAATGTTCGTAAAAATTCACAAGGCAAACTATGCATTAGATACACCAATGCATAAAGTTGCAGCTTGATGCCCTGTTTTGAAGAGGACAACCTATTTCTTAAGGAAGCAGTATAGGAAAAAGCAAGATGGGGATGAAAAAGGAAGGGCAATGAACATTGGGGGAATAATAGGCAAGGGAATAGTTCAGGACCCCCTCCATACTTGTTGCTTTCTCACTGCAGATTTGGGGGGAAATTGCAACTCTGTGGTAGGTGGAAAGGTTGCTGGTTCAATCCCAATTTGAAACCCCCCATCTGGAATTTTGGAGAGCCACTCCTAGTCCTGCCTTCCTCAATCCAAGGGGTACTGGAACCCCAAACTCAGCCATTAGGATGGCTGGGGATGTTGGAATCCACTGCATCTGGGAACCCCAGGAGAAGACAGGATTCCTCCTACATTTGCATCCTTTATAACTTTAGCAATAAATTCTAAGAGAATGAAACTGGCAGTGTGCTATGCTTGAAGGCACCATCAACAGACCAAGAGCAATTCATTTAGATGAGGCACCGAAGCTCATCCTGGCTCTAAGGTAAAATGGCCAGGTGTGACTCCAGGACTCCTGAGTCTTTGGTGGTTGTTAGAAGAGGGAATTTCACTGGGTGTAATCTGCCCTGCAAACTAAAATGGTCTCTTCTATGCCATTATTAAAGGTCTGAGAGTAGTCTCACTTTTTGACACCTGGCCATCCCTTTCTGGTGACTGGAGGAGCTATATGGACATGGTAGGGCAGGTTGGAGGATCAACTAGAAATAAGGGAAATTTTAGAACAAGGCTAAATGAGAGGGAATGAGCTTCAGGGAACCAAAGGCACACCAAATGAGTCCAAGAAGTAAAGAAGAAATGAGGAAAGCATAAACTTGTATGTTTGGGGTCAGGGAATGATACGACAGAGAAACTGTAATAGTGGCAAGGAGAGGGAAGAACAATGTAGTGTGTCAGATGTTTAAGGATGCTACGAGTTCAGATAGTTGAATGACAAAGAATCGGTTGGCCTGAAAAGAAGACACCAAAGGATTATATGAGTGGGAAAAACTGGTTGGGTTTGCATCATGTGCTAGGTTAGGCTAAATATATGGACCAGCTTATTATGGGAAGCCAGCCATTGCTTAGAACATGGGGAGAACCAGGCTATCATATGAAGTTGTAATGTAATTTATTTCTTTGGGCATAGCATGCTGTGTGAACCCAGGATGTATGTTTTGTTTACCAGGGCATGGGGTTTAGCAAGTTGTGTAAATCCAACTGCAGAGTGATGAATAAGGGAACAGCATTCTGGGTACCACTTATATAGAGCTTATGAATTATTGGGATAATGAATAGTAAGAAACCAGCAACCCGAAGCTATGGGGTTCATCTCCTGATCTCTTTAATATGGGATGAGTCACCTGGGGCTCAGGGACACAGGTAGCCCCCTCCCCAGCATTGATTCTGTGACACCCAACACCCTAAGAATGCTGCTGAAATACAGTGCTGAATGGCCCATTTTCAGCTTTTTTTTTTTTTTCTTTTTCCCAAAATAAGGATGAAAATGGGAGGACATTATCTCTTTCTGGTTCAGGCATTAAAGAAGGTTCTGTGGACACCATCTTTTTGCTATAGGACCCTGAATTATTTTCTAACTGTTGTACAAATGAATTATATTCCTGGTGGTTGACTTTGTCTGTCTTGTTATTAAAAGTTGCTGAGATCTTAAATCCACTTAGATCAGGGGAATTATTCCATAAAAAGGTCTTTACTGGAATATATTCTTTTCAAATACAACCCACAACATTTTTATTAACAAGCAGATTTTCTTTCAAGATCTATATCCTTGAGAGATATGTTCACTGACCACCTCTCCATTGAGGTAGGGGAAAAAGGGACAAGGGACTATTTTAGTGCCCCTTCTTAGGTGACCAGACAGGAGTTGAATTCAGGAAAGAAGTTAGAACCTACCTAAAGGAATTGGGTTCTGTTTCTTCTGGGAAGGAAGAGTTTAAACACTTGGCTAGGAATTATTTAGAGGAAAATTTTGCCTATCTCACTGCTGGATTCCATCAATCCCTAGTTCGGTCAATGGCCAGGAAGGGTCAAAGCTAAGCCAACCAATTTCCAAGAATCAAGGCCTTTCCCCTTGTCTGAGCTGAGATGCTCTTCATCCATCCTTGAGTGAGTTAAAAACCAGACCAACATGAAATTTCCTGCCCCCATTACTGTACTGATTTCTACCCTGCCTTTGTTGTTCTTCTCCAATCACTGTATACCTTGACTGTCCTTCACCTACTGGGTGCCAAAGCTTAACAGATTTTACACTCTGGCTGCCCTTGGATGGCATTGATATAAGGGGGGAGGCGGGAATTACATTAACTACCAGTATAGCTAAGGATGATTAAGCCTAGCTCACTCATGAGTTGAGATGAAGGCATTGTCCCAGAGACATGGCAGAAAAAAAAGATGCTGCTAGGAAGCACATGTACCATGGTTAGGTGCAAGTGTGGGAAGGTGCTAAAGATTCCCCAACTCTGACTTAGATTTATGAAACTATTCCCCGGGAAGCTTCTATGCCCAGGTTCCCTGATTGCTGGTCCATGAAGACCTGAGACCAGCTTGCCAAGACCCTGGGATATAGAACAGAGTCAGCTCCTGGTCAGGAGACTCAGGCAAAATTCACTCCACAAGAGCTTTCTTGCTGCTGTCATCTTACCCTTTGCTTAGGCTTTCTTTCCTAAGGAGAGTAAAGTGTTAGTGGGGGTGAGGGCCAAATCTCCTTCTGGACAGGTGGACAGGTAGTGATATCAAGGAGTTAGAAAAACAGGGGACCCTCAGGGTTGCCATTGGATTCTTTTATAAGTCATGGGCCTTGGTATTTACCAATAATGCCAACCTTTGCTTCTACAGTATATCTCAAAAATCTGCTTCTGGTCCTAATTCAAAGGATTTCTGCTCCATGGTTCTCCACATCAGCAGCAGACATATCTAATTTAAAGCTTTTGAAATGGATGGGTAATTTATCCCACCAAGAACTGGCATCTGCCTCTTGTGGCCAAGAGCCTGTTATTTCCAGGTACTCACAGCATCCTCTTTTGAAAGCACCTTCCAGCATCGCAGGCTATATTTATGACAGCTGAGCGCCCTCCAAGGGCATCCGAACCACTTAAATTCCATCAATTTGTGAAGTACTGTACTAAAAACAGAGTAGGCGAAGCCATCTTGATGGAAATCAACTAACTCCTTTTCGGGGAACAGCAAATGATTTCAGACCCATAAACATGTCAGCTCCTCTAATTTCTTCTTTCTTCTTTCTTTTTTAAGGCAAAAAGTATCAGCTAAACGGCTGACGGGGTGAACTTTCTGTCACAACAGCTTTCGTCGATGCTTATTTTTAGATCAAAACACAATTTGCATATCAGAGGCAGTACACCCAGATTTTATAACATTGTAATCTTTACTGTGTGTACCAGTCACGTTAAGTGTTCAGTGTGTGGAAGTGGTCCCAGCCCATCCTGACTCCCCCCCCATGCCCCTTTAGCCTCTTTTTTGAAGAGCTAAATACATAGAAGGGGGAAGCATTTCTAATATGGAGATCAGTTCATTCCTCATGCACACATCCACAAATTGCCCTTGTTCTGTTCTGTTCTGTTCTGTTCTGTTCTGTTCTGTCATCCATCCATCCATCCATCCATCCATCCATCCATCCATCCAACCATCTAACCATCTAACCATATATCATATCATATCATATCATATCATATCATATCATATCATATCATATCATATCATATCATATCATATCTATCTATCTATCTATATATCTATCTATCTATCTATCTATCCGTCCATATCTATCTATCTATCTATCTATCTATCTATCTATCATATCATCTTATCATCATATCATATCAATCTATCTATCTATCTGTCCGTCCATCTCTCTCTCTCTCTCTCTCATCCATCCATCCATCCATCCATCTATCATATCATATCA